CACTGAGACCACCGACACCGTCCAGAAATAAGTAACTTCCCGAAAGGTCATCGGTCTTCGTGACGACCTCAGCGGCCCTGCGAATACCACAAACTTGCGGATTGAAACGCGGCGAGTTTGTTGACCCGAAAAAGAAATACGGCTACGGTGATTAATGGCGAACCCTTGCGACATTACTGTCCGCGGATTGTTATTTATTTCCGGTGCAATCGATATCCTGCCGAGTTGAAGCTCTCGTTTCTAGTGGGTCGAGATAGCTCGCTACTTGAGCTGCTTTTAGTGGTCTTCACGTGGACCAATAAAAAACTGGGATTTATCCTTTTTTTGTACTCCACTTCAGGATAGATTAGGTTCTTTTGTTCTCGGTAAAGTGGGTCTTTTATATTGCGCGAGGTTATGTTTACATTTGATAGGTGGATGGACGAAGATTATTATCCGCAAGTGGTATATTTGTTGTACTGGTTTATTTGGCAAAACCTCTTGGTCTGAAGATGAGTCTCTGAGTACTTTGGAAGAGGATGAATTTTATGAGCACTATAGATATTCAAAAATCAGTATTGCACTGAACACCTGTGTACTTCAAAATATCTGCAATGAAGTAATCAAATTTATTGATACTAATATTTACTATGCTGCCTTCGTTATTAAAACTAATTTCATGTCTTTATTAGACACCTTAAAATTGAATAAAGTAAAAATAAAAATAATTGGAATAATTGATCAAAGAGGACGAAATTATTTAATAAATCCAAATATTTAAAAATCAGCATTGCGCAAATGAAACTCACAATCAAAGGTAAACCAGTGTAACCATTTCAGTGCGACAGTAGTGAAACGATACTACATCATCAATGAATTATGAAAGCACTTCTGAATGCTATCACCCGGATCGCTCCGCGGAATATCTTTGAAAGTTATGTTCGGTCACACATCGTCGGCGGCGAAGAATTCCTGTACAATGAAGCGGAAACGCGTGGCAGAGAAGACAGCTCGGGGTGAAATTAAAATTCTTTCGGCGGGAAAGTCGTAAAAGCGCACGTTAATTTCCGGGGCGATCGCGGCGTGTCGCGAGATAATGATCGCGATAACCGATTATGGGTCTGAATTATGAAGGAAGTTTTAAACTGCCCCGCCCTCGATGGCGAACGCAATTAATTAACGAGAAACCGGCCGCTTATGAATTATTCGCCCTTTCTCACCGTTCGTCTCGCTCACGACGCCCTCGCTTCAATCGAGACAACAGTATGTCGATTTCGGGAAATCGTTTACATGACGGAAGAATTTCGGATCGTTCGTAATGCTATTAAAATAGGTGACAAATTGTGAGCCGCCATTTTATGGTTCTTGTGTGCCGAGGGAAAATGGCTGACACATCTTGACGTTCTATTATTTTATATTCCGATGAAATGAAAGTTTTCATTAAATGAATGGATATTATTGTTGTGAACCTTTGATGAAAGTAATTTTTCCTGTGTTGAAGGAGATTTCTAATGAGTTCAGTGAGGTTAGGTTCAGATTGTTAGGTTATGATACCAGTGAAGCTATTAAAATGTTTTATATTATCAAATTTTTACAATGTAACATAAAGTAGTAGTTTATTAATAAATTCACACTATAATTCCATACAAATAAACACTATTCAAGTTAATTTTAACCTTGCACTTAAAAAGTGCAAACTTACTATTTGCTGTAACACAACAATTTCAAAAACATATTTTTTGGACCAAATCTATAGTGTAACACAATGAAACAGTAGCAACTGACACATCAAACTATCCAACTAAAACGTGTAACAATTCCTGTCAACGGCAGACCTTCAAAAAATTCAATTTGCGAAACGTTCATGACAAAGTCACCTGACACAGAGGCATTTTGTAACTGTTATTACAGTACTGACAAGATCTGCACTTCTAGTTCTATGACCCTTATTTATTCCAGCAAGTTATCTTGAAGTATCATACTAATTCTTTTCGTGATACCAGGTCGAGTTGCGAATATGCAAAATAGCACGCTTATCAACATATTATCTTTTCGTTTAAACGTTAATGAGAAAAACAATGCCGCAAACAAAAGTCGTGGTTAAAATTTTATTTGGTGAGATGAGAATGTATTCGGCGAACTTTAGCAACGTCGTTAACCAGGGTTTATCGACAACACGGATGTTTCTCATGGCCGTTTACGCTCAAAGGCAAAAGCTATTAACATCGAGAGTTTTCTTGGTCGAACGACCAGAACTCATTACATGTCCTGCAAGAGTTCCGACAGTTTTCGAGGCGTAGTTGGATTAGACGTTGGCAGCTCGTTAACCAGCCTTATCGACCCTTTCCCCGTGCACCTACCCCATTGTGCAGGTCGTATTAATTAAAAAAATGAAAATGTACGGGCTGTCCGACGCACGGGTCCACCGCGTAATCTCTTTCCCGCGTTTCCTTTCCATCGGTTTCCGATTTTCTCATCGATATCGGGCTACCTACGATTCCGTTTTATCGTTAAAAATGAAATTCCTTCCCGGATATTAATTCGGATTCGGCGTCGGGACCGCTTCCGCTCGAATAACAAATAACCAACGAGGAGAATCGATAACATCGTATTCGTTATTAAACAATACGGCTCTGAATGAAATGAACATACCGCGGAAGGAAAGAATTAATTGGTGATCGCGCTATCTACTGATATTGAAAGCTACCTCTCATTGGATTCGCAAATTTACCTTGCAAATCAATTTTATATCAGATATGCGGTAGTTGGCTGAAAAATTCAATCAAGACTTTTTTCGATTCACGTTTCTCTATTATCTTCATATTCTTAATTAGACATCGAGGATTACATAACCTACAAACGGAAGCTCTGGTAAACTTGCTTACTCGAGTCAGCACTTGATTACTCGTCTAACATAAACACGTTTAAGAACAATTTAAACTAGTCAGGTAGCAAGTGGCCACATAACCTAGTTCCTAGGTTACCTATCAAATTTATCTACCAGTCCAAACTAAGCTCCGTTCAAATGAAAAGAAACTTAAACACATTCTCACCCGTACATCTGGTCAACGTTTTATCGAAAGGAAGACTAATGACAGACTTTGCACCGCGTGTAATTAGTTCTGTTCGTTCGAAGCTTGTGGTCCCAGGTGACAGATACCGGATCGATGCGAAGGAAATAAAACATGGAAGCAATTACGAGCGAAGAAAGAAAGATAACTCCCGAAGAGTTAAACCCGATCGGTTTGCAGGAAGAGCGACTAGAGTAAAGGGGTGGAAAGAAGAAGAATAACGAAAGGAGGAAGTAGCGAGAAAGGTATTACTCAGATAACTGAGAACGTGGAACGAATGTACGAGTAGAAACCGGGTGAAGGGGTGAGATTATGCTCGTACGGGGATAGAAAAGAGGGCTCGCGTGCCTGGGTGCAAGTTCGTCTTGGCTTCCGGTAGCTTGCATGCTTCGAATCTACTTGTATCAGCTCGTTGTACGAGCTCGAACCTCATAGAGGCTCACATACACCGAGAGGTGAAACGGATGAGTGTATGTGGACGCGTGGCAGTCGTTTTCGCTAGAATTTATCCCGGGTAGCGAAACTAATCGTCGGTCGAATTAATTCCACGACTGAGAATGGCTTCTGCCGACACGATCGTTCCCTATCTCCAAGAGGAAAAGGTATCGCTCGGAATCGGCTAACTATCGCTCTCGATACGTGCGTGGAATTGCTAGAAAGTGGTCGTTCAGATTTCGATTATTGCTGCTGCAATGATCGTACGTGTCGTTAGGAACGAGCTCGACTTATCTATATCGCCGTATTGCGAGGGTAGTTAGTAAAAGAACGAAACTCGTTCGTTAGGAACTATTTTATGGACCTGTATGGTAGTGCCATTTAGGAAGTTAGCATCAGTTACTTTTTTATGGGGGTTGTATACAGATACACAGATGTTAAGACATAGGGACTTAGATGTGTAGATTTATGTTTAGACGTGTAGAGATCTAGAGATACATCTGGTGGATGTAGGAAAGTATGAGACTCTTGAAATCTGAGAGATACAGATATAAGGATATAGGGACATGGGTATCAAGATATGTAGCGTCTGATAATATAGGAGTTTGATATAGGTATCTGAGGTTGTGGAAGCTTCGATATATGAGACTAGAAGTATAATTAGAAATTTGGGGTTATAGAGACCTGGGACTCTAAGTAAAGTTCTAGTTGTCTCTGAATGCAGGTACCTAAGGATTAAGATACTTAAATATCTAGAAGTTGAAGAAGCCAGGTATCTAATGATCTAGGTGTCCTTATATCTAGACATTCAACTCCACAATGTCACCAATAACAAAATCGATACCAAAGAACAAAATACGCACAAGACTACACTGACATCTACAACCCAAATGAATTAATCCAGCAATCAATTCCTCCCAAGTCACCACGTTTCCACCCATGCGTTAAAACGCAGTTCAATTTCCCCATATGGGTAATGGAAGAAGAAAGCAGCAAGTGCGTGACGAGCTCGGCTTTTTTATGATACTTCGAGCGTGGCTAGTTAAGTTAAATAATGAATGAAGATTGGTCTGGCCGGTCTACCGGGGGTTGGAAACGGGCACCGAATCACTTTGATGTCTGGCGGCAGCCACCGATTATGGAATCAATTATTGCACGCCACTTTCCGCGTCCCTTTTTCGTCGGTTCACCTTTCTAGTCTGTATGGCGATACCCAACCCCTGTCCGCGGAGGAAGATTTATTCCGTGCAGGAAGAAATTGTCCGATCGAACAGTCACGGAGAACCGATTCCGCGAGAGGTCAGGCGAGTCCAGGTTAAGATGCACTCGCGTGTACAAGGATGTCATTATCGTCGTATAATCTACGCCAATTACCCTTCGACATGGAGTATACGGAAATAGTACCTTAACTATCGGTACGTGCTTATTTCCCCGCGGATCGAATTTAACGACAAAGGTTCCGATAAAATACGTAACACTAAAGTACCGATGTTTAGAAGTCAGGTGCAGGTCGGGTTCTGAAGGAAACAGTCGAAACTCTTAAACTTTATTATCGTCGACATCGAGTGGTAAACAAAGTAACTATTAACAGTAATGTACAAAACGCGAGTATAATACTGCAAGTCCAGTTCGCTAACACTGGCTCTTATTCTTCTTGCTCTCCTTGATGGAGATCACGTAACGCTGAGCAACGTTCAATGGCGGCGAATAACCGTCCGCGTAGGTGGCATCTTCGAAGAGCACCTCGTACTCCTCGGTGGCGGTCGTCGGCAGTTGGTTCACCACCGCCTTGTAGAAGCAGGTCGTTTGAGGATACAGCGCCATAACGATGGAGCCTTTGGGGAAGAGGGCGTGCGGATCAGTCTCTGGATTAGCCCTCATCAAGGGCAGGGGCACCACCCTCCTTCGAGACAGGGTATGTCTGTCCTTCTGCTCCTCGTCGATGTCATCTACCTCGTACTTGTTCGTCGCCGAGTTGAACTGCACCACTTCAGCCAGGATCCAGTTCTCCTCCTCCTCGGAGCCCTTCACCAGGGCTGCCACCATGTCTCCCATTTTCGCGATATACGTGGGCTCAGCGGAGATTGCCCCACATAAGGGCGGCGGTTTCGCCCCTGGTGTCTTGCCCACGTACAGAGGCAACGTCTGCGCTGTACTTAGCAGCATCTTCATCAGGGCACCTCGACGAATCGTCTCTTTGTTCCCTGCATTACGAGCCTGGATGCGTCGCTCGTTTCTGATCGCGCGAATTTCGTTGATCTTTCCTAATGCCTTGCGTAGGATCTCCTCTTCTTGCTGGGAGTCGCCTATCGCCGCGTTGTACAGGTTCTTTAACTTCTGTTGATAGTAGGGAGATACTTTGTCTTCCGGAGTTACTTTCTCGTAAGTCTTTACGATGCTGTTCAGGTTGTGCTCCGAGCGAACTCGTTGACTCTCGATCTCGTGCACCAGGTGGTATAAGTTCTTCAGACGCTCCTGGATCTGGCTGGCTGCGGCATCTGCCGTGAACGGCATTCTGGAGTTTTGATTACTTCGGGGGAAGGCGTACGCGGGTTTCAAGTTTTCGGCGCTTTGCTGGGTATCTGGAAGATGGATAATTTTACTGTGGAATTATGTGGGGTGGTCTGATGCACCAATGTGTTCATGTGGAGTAGCATGATGGCTGTTCAGAGTAGTATATCAATATGATTATTCATATGATTGTTCAATATGATTATTCAGAATAGTATGGTCCATATTTTATCAGCTATATGAAGATTTGGATTGTGCAATAGATATAAAGTTAAATTAAAAAGTTATATTATCCTAGTATTGTTGCACGTTTTCATCATTTTGTTTAGAAATTAAGTCAAAAATAAAATCGAATTGTTATAGCGAACTTCATGACCCATCTTAAAATTTCATTCTGAAAATATGAATATTTCAGTAATAAAATATATGCAAACTCGCAATAAAATTAAAAAAAACATGAAATATTTAAGTAAAGAACATTAATAAACCAATGCAAAGTTAAATTAATAAAAAAAATGAAGTTCGATCGTTTCCCGCCTTTAGCAGATTTGAACTCGCGACCTCTAGCATGGTAAACCTAAACGTTACCTACTAGACCACAATAAAATATTCTGACTTGTTTTTAATTTCTAGAATTTAAAGTACAAAGTAACTATAAAATGAATAATCTCTTTCAAACGTGTATTCAGAATGTATTAACAGAAAATGTACACTGACAAACAAAACACAACCCGCACGTGTAACTGACAGAAAAGAAGTTAGAGGGCCAAGCCCCACCGATCGATAGAGTGCTCGTGAATGGCTGCATGGAAGTATATCAAAGTTTGTACGTACCTCATTCGGAAGAAGGTAAATCGTTGTTCAATCTCCCGAAGTAAACTATTGATTGTTCGCCTTTCTAACGCGAAGTTACAAGCGGCACTAAACCACCTCAACGTCGTGCAATCGACTGTGCGTACGCTTCTGCGCCATACTGCTTCTCCCACCATGTCGCGTTTCTATAGAACATGCGATCCTAACTCAAGGCGGTGCTGCCATCTGGTGACAAAGTCTTCGACTAGAAAGACCGTAATAATTTTGTCCGTTTCAATATAATATTCCTTTATCGTTCGATTAATGATCGAGAAGAATAAAAATTTAAAAAACAACGTTGGTTAAGAATTATTTCTGAATATTCATTAAATAGCATTCGAATATGAAATATGTAGGAGTTATTATTTCTTAAAACAACACACAAGTCACTTGAGATGAGAGTATCAGAAAAAGGCTGTCCAGATCCTTGAGAACAAGAAACCGCGAAATTGCTACATCTTTCAGGTGCTTCATCTAAGTGCTACTTTCTCTGATAGCTGTAACAAAGAAACCCGTCGTCTGTTGCAATTTTGTTTTTCTTTCAGAAGAGCGTGTCTTTGGAATGAAAAAAAATTCCTTGATATTTTTCTGTAAGAGGAACTGTTGTAAACAATGTAGCTTTACTGCGAGGATATAAGCTTGTTCCTTGCTTCTAAAGAGTGTGGACTTTAATAAAATTTTACGCGAGTAGGTCAGTGGTTATGAAAGAGTAGAAGTTGGATCTCATTTTTAGAGAACTTCCATTTTGAATTTTGTCTTGCAATCAAAGTAATGCTGCACTGTGACATTCTATTTTATTCTGTAAAAGGATGTTACTCCTAATTGTAATTTATTTTAGTCTTTGTTTACTGTCAAAACTTAATTGTAACATCAACTTCAAAGAAAATGATGACGCATGGTGGTATTACAATTATAAAAATTCTAGGTCAGCTCTTATCAGACAGAGGATTTTATTATTTCCAAATTTTTTAAGGTTACAAGCAAATATATAATAAACTTGTAATTTCTAAAAATGCAAATATTGATATACCTTCATCTAAAATTTACATACTCTGACTTGCACCACTATCGATACCAGTTTGTGTTATCTTAAAGTAATGAGATAAGACAGCATATTTATAAGAAATTAATAACTCATAATAATCAATAAATCCTACATTTAATATTCCCAATAATGCAACTATAAAAATGTCCCCATCTAAAATTTACATACTGACCTACCACTATCGCACCACTCTTCTAAAGTGATCAGATAAACCAGCATATTTATAACAAATTAATAACTCATAATAATTAATAAGTTCCACATTCAATATTCCCAGCAATGCAACTATAAAAATATCCCCATCTAAAATTTACATACTGACCTACCACTATCGCACCACTCTCCTAAAGTGATCAGATAAACCAGCATATTTATAACAAATTAATAACTCATAATAATCAATAATTCCTACACTCAATACTTCCAACAACCTAGATATAAAAATGCCTCCATCTAAAATTTCCATACTCGATATCAATCCGCGATATTTTAAAGTGACATTTCACGCCTAGAAATAGATCAGATAGGTCAATAAATCTCGCTAAGCACTCGAGTTATCGGGCTTGAAATAATCTGCATCGAAAAGTAAATGGAGCAAATGACAGAACATTAGCGGGCACACGCAATTTGCTATCAGGAGCAATAAACGCGTTAGTCAGTCGATCGCATCGGAACGAAGCAGTGCGAAGAATAATCAATTGGTTGGTAAATTACACGGTACGGACACCTCGTCGAGGGTCCGTGGCGACTCGTATAAATCAGCGAGCGCGGAAAAGCTCTCTATCGTTCTTGTTAGGCATCGGATGATGTACTGGCCGAGCTATAGCCGGGCTGTGCATCATCGCTAACAGGTAACCGCTGCAAACGGCACCGATAGCGAAACCCCGTAACGCGAGTCAACCAACCAGTCCTCGCTTTGGAATCCCATGGACGGCCATGGCGCGAACCATCGTCGGCTGCGTTCCATCGTGCTCGCGCCATAAACGTACATAAGCGCAAGGTTTCTTACGAACTCTTTGACCTATTCGCAATGAGATGCGTGTCACGCGTGCCGCGTACGCACGAAATCGCGGAGGATTCAACCTGTTTCCTGCTAAGAACAATGCGGAGGCTGCGGACGTAGGTTCAAAACGGACTGTTATTTTGGGAAATGTCTTTCCGGAAATGTCTTTTCCTTGAGAACAGATGAGATGCTGAGATAAATCAGATTTATTGTAAAAAATTATTACATTACAATTTAAATAAAAAATTATTTATTACAGATTTATTGTAAAAATTAGAATATGTGAAATTTAGGAATGTGAAAATTAGAGAATGTGGAATTTGGGAATGTAGAAATTAGAGAATGTGAAATTTGAGAAAAGTGGAAATTAGAAAATGTAAAATTTGAGAATATGGAAATTAGAAAATTTGAAAATTAAAGAATGTGAAATTTGGGAAAGTGAAAATTAGAAAATGTAAAATTTGGGAATGTGAAATTTAAGAAGGTAGAAATTAAAAAATATTGAATTTGAGAATGTAAAAATTAGAGAACGTGAAATTTGGAAACATGAAAACAAGAAAATGTGAAATTCGGGAATATAACTTATAAATATTCGCAAGTACAAAAAATGTACCCAACTTGTCAATCTTCAAATTAAGAATTTTATAAAATATCAAAGAAAGTCTATACCACATTCGAGCACACTTAAAATTGACACCGGTATTTCTATTCTCGTAACGCTGTCTGAAACGATTATAGAGGTTTTATACCACGAAAGTGTAACGAATCATAGGTTATTCTTAGAGGAAGATTATAGAAACAGTCTTCCAAGTAGCTTTGCAATAATTATTAATCTGTACGATTTGATATCGTGTCAACGGCGGGCTATAGATAGCTCCATACACTATTTGTGGCTCTCCACTTTCATGGAATAGGAATTATTGTTCCGTTCGATTCCGCTATAGCAGCTCATGCATTTATTATGATAGATGCTTTTAGCTTCTATTGTGAATGCAGTTATTCTAGGTCCTTTCAAGATAGAAGTTTTTAAATTGAACCACTTTTTACAGAGTTACTGCATATTTAACTCTAATCCCATCTGACTTAATCCTATCAGACTTAAATTCACTGTCCATTCAAAACTGCTGTAACTGCTGTCATTAAAAAAAATTATTCGTTATTATTTAATATAAAATGTCGAAAAAAAAGTTTCCAAAAATCAGGAAACTTGAATGTGTAGTTATTTGGAGAACAACATTGTGACATACACTTGATGAATCTTTAAAAAAGTAATCTATGGATCTCTCACCGCATATTTGCAATTTGAGAAGACCAAGCTTGAAGATTTATATCGTCAAAGATCTCAGCACTAGTAAGCTATTGCAAACATATTCATCCAAATATAGCATAGTAAGCCGGTGGTCCGCCCATTGGATCAATATTTTATGCCTAATTGATGCAAAGTAAGTCGTAAGAACGTCTGCTGATTTGAATTGTTAATCGGCGAACGGGTCCCATTGATGTCTAATTATCATGTACACCGAGCGACTCGATGGCATTACACGGAGGGTAAACCGATGAATCATATTTTAAGACAAATGAATTTCTCGGTATTATATGCTAAACGGGGCCGAGCGTGGCGCGTTATCAGCCGATTTTGCAATGAAAAGTAATACAGTGTGCGCGCCGTCGGGTCAATAATTATCCCGCCACCGTGCGGCAATAAATCAATGCTTAGAAACAAAATGACAGGGACGACGGTTGATAATACACGTGTATACGAATGTACGCTAATTGCACGCTAGATACGTACGAGGAGTTCGCGAGATTAGACGAGCCCTCGTATCCTGCTGATTTCAGACTGTATCTGTCTTGCGCAATGCTCACGGTGTTGTAACAAACGTTCTAACGTTATTGCCACGAGGACGAGTCTCCCAGCTGAATTTCGACGTCCTTCGATCATTAGGATCTTTACAAACGAGAGGATCGCTCTTAAAGACGCTCCGACAGAAGATAATCGTCACGTGGGAAAGTGACAGGGGGAATTGATACTTCGTGCGTTCGTGTTATCGATCAACGGAATGCGATATAATCTATTACGATTCAATATGTTGTAACTGTTCGTTGTTTTTGCTATGTTAGGAATTTCCTTTTGAAACATTTTTAGAAGACATTAAGGCCATCTTCGTAATAGTCGAAATATTTTAGGAAAATCGATTCGGAGTTTTTCATTGCGGTATTTTGTGAATTAAATTATTTTTTGGTGGAAGTAGAGTGGTCTGAATTGCAAGGATCAATAGTCTGATCCTTGAGTCAATAATCGGATACGCGAGTTTATTTCTGAACTTCTTGTCGTGAATTCGTTTCTTAACTTCCTGTCGCCATTTTATTTCTAACCTCGTCCGTTTACCAAGTGTCCCGATTCAAATGACGTGAGAATCTATTTCTAAATTCCTTGTCGCCATTTTATTTCTAACCTTGTTCTTTTACCGAGTGTCGCAGTTGAAATTATCTGAGATTCTACTTCTAAATTTCTTGTCGCCATTTTGCTCTAATCTTGTTCTTTTACCAAGTATTTTGATTGAAATGTCACGAGATTTTATGTCTAATTTTCTCGTCGTGATTTTATTTCTGAATTTCTTGTCGTGTATTCATTGCTAAATTTCTGTGCGCCATTTTATTTCTAACCTTGTTCTTTTACCGAGTGTCTCAGTTAAAATGTCACAAGACTTTATTTCTAATTTTCTTCTCGTGAATTCATTTCTGAACTTCTTGTGATACTTTCATTTCTAAATTTCTTGTCGCGATTTTGTTTTTAATCTCGTTATTCTATCAAGTGTCTTCATTGAAATGTCATCAAACTGCATTTTTAAACTTCTTGTCATCAAACTGCATTTTTAAACTTTTTGTCGTTATTTCATTTCTAAACTTCTTGTCGTAATTTCATTTTTAAATTTCTTGTCGTGAAAGTATTTCTAAATTTGTTACCGCCATTTTGTTTCCACACTTCCTTCGCCAAACTCCCCAATGCAAATGGCGCAAGATCTCTTCAATTCAAGTTACAGGATTCGTTCCTCGAAG